CCCTGAATATTACTTGGTATCGGATCGGAAAGGAAATCAGTGGTATCGCACATCACTAACGACGAGGAGCTCATCGAGCTACAATCTCTCAGCTTTGAATGAGAACGACTCAACAGAAGCAGCGATTCACAGACAAAAGACGAATAAAAACATCTGTGTGTCGCAAATGTTGACGCAAATTATTATTTTATACCTTTTCTATAGATGTAACTGAAAAATGACACATGATGTGTTTGTGTCAGGATGCTGACAGCAAAGTGCCGACAGACACCGACAGGAGTGTTTATACTCAAACACTAACAGGTCGTGTTGGTGGCTTAACAACACAATAAAGAAATAAGTTCCTCCAGATGTTTGCATCACTCTGAGTCCGGTCCTGGTACCTGACCGCTGTCAAAGTCAAATATGCACGAGGGCTGGCTCAAGACTTTTGCACAGTGCGATGCAGGTGTGGCTGGTCGACCAACATCTGTTCAGTGTGAGGATCAGCTGCTTCTCAGTGCTGCGCGTTTGGACACATTTCACGTGAACTCGAGCCAATAACTGAAACATCAGCTGCACACGCGAGCGTCCTTACCCCAGACCGCAGGTCCGTGAGCGTGTGCGTGAGGATGATGTTGAACACGGCGTGCGACCTGCTGCTCTCTTCATTCATGTTTGTGGCCGCCACTGTGCGAGACTTATTCCCCTCTGACATCAGAGACTCGATGTCCTGTTGAACAAACACACGTCTGCAGCGTTTTTACTTTCTGGTCCCGATGCAGTAAAGAGACAAACAGTCGGTTTACCTTGTAGCTGGTCACCGCCAGGCGGGAGAGACCGTCCACGTAAGGCCCCAAAACTTTGTGCTCTCGGACTCTCAGCGCTTGTCGGCTTCTGCAGAAATAAGGAGACAGTCTCAGCTTTGAGTGCTTCAGCTGCCCGGACGTGTTCAGCACCCTGAACGTTATTCCAACATCCCAGCAGAACGACGAGCGAGGCTCTCGGCATCTCACCCCTTCGGGTCGAGCAGGTCTCGGACCTTCTCGTTGTAAATCTCCATGTAGGACACCTCCACGGTGAAGCTCTCCCCTTCACGGGCCTCCGTCTCAGTCCTGCTGAACAGCGAGCTGCAGAGTCGAGGGATAAGACCGGGCTGCTCCGACGAGCCCATCATGGTGTACGACTTCCCAGAGCCTGAAGACAAACAATCCAGACGCCGGTGAGAGAGCGAATCACT